TGTGTGTGTGTGTGTGTGTGTGTGTGTGTGTGTGTGTGTGTGTGTGTTTATGTGCACATAAGAAACCAGGTCAGTGGGAGAAATGAGGTTAAGCAGGTAATAGTCAGGTTTCTGTAAGATCCTCAGATACACGACCTGACCTGCCAGACAGTTTGTTGCAAAGCAGGCACTTTCAAAAACAATCCTGGCAGCTGATTGGATGAACCATGTGTCAATCAAGCAACAGAAGCCAGTTTCCATCAAGAAAAGCCTCCATATGCCGTTATAGAAATACAATATCTTTTACAGCATCTACCCTAACCTCATCAGGAGCCGCCATTGTTGTTTTGAACAAACCGTTGCCTCTTTGTGTCGCGTCACACACCTAAGCCACGCCCATAGCTGGCAGTAGCTCCTCACAGGATGCTGATAGGTCCATGCTCTGGCTGACCGGACACAAACACATTAGAGAAAGCCAGACAAGATATTCAGATCCATGCAGCAGATCAGTAATCAGATTTCCTCCCTACCCAGTCACACAATTTTGGGACCATAGCTCAATTTAATTTAATTTAACATGCTTTACTGAACAGGACTTTAAAGATACGTGCTTGAACTTAAAATAAAAAAATACATGAGACAATTTGAAAAGTCTGCACACTGTGACTTATGCAGAAACAGTTAGCACGCTGGCTCCGCCTGAGGCGTCCGTGCATTAAATCCCATTTCTCTCACAAGTCACGGTGTGCAGGCTTGTCAGGTTGTCCTAACTTATATTACAATACATACAAAATGTTAAAGTGGATGGCTTCAGTAGGTGATCTGTGTATTGAAGCCATCATGTTGACCTCGCATGTGTCCACATTCACAGAAAACCAAAGGTTGAAAAGACGAAGCCTGAGAAGGAGGCCAACCAAGCGCAACTTCCCAAGAAGAAGAAAGGTTTTCTGCCAGAAACAAAGAAGCGTAAAAAGCGCAACATTCCGATTCTAGAGCCGGCGGCGGCGGCAGCAGCAGAGGCAGACAACTCGACCTCAAGATACAGAGCGGGAGCAGACAAAGGACAAGCCAAAAAGAAACATGACAAGAAAACAAAACAGAAGCGACCGGCCGGCGGCGCGGCGGCTTCTCAGCCCAACCCGGCAAAGAAGAGCAAGACGACGCTGTCTGAGAGCAAGACGGCCAAGAAGACGAAGAAGAAACCCAAACAGAAGAAAGAGGGAGGGGGGCAAATGTAAAGTGGACACTGCTATTTAAATGTTGATTTCTTTTTAAAGAGCCTGTGTTTTCGTCTATTAATTTTTCTATTTACTCGGCTGTTCTCCAGCTATCGTCCCTAATTGTGTCTCTCTGCCGTTGGCTGCTGACCAGGTAGTATATTATACACACTACCAGAACGGTAAAGTTGTTGGCTGCACAGATAAACAATGAGCTGAAACTCATCATTAAGCTCTGTAAAGCAGAGGGGAACTGCAGATTCAGCTGATTATTCTCCGTAGCTCAGTCTTTAGTATGATACCACTCGATTAAAAACGATTCACTTTATTGTACCTTTTAAAAAATATATATTTTAGTTATTACCAGCAAGTCCTATAAATAGATCAAAACCTACAATGTGTCTGATTTCCCAACTGTGTCTGTCACTCAGAATAAAGTCAAACCTTTCCTTTAAGTGAGGATCTTTTCTTTTGTCTAGTTTTTTTAATTGGTGTGAACCAGAAATTGTAATTTGACAAAAAAAACAGGTTTTCTAAGCCTGCCAAGTTTATTCTTTGTCATGACTAAACCAAAACACATCTTTCAGTAAGGTACTGAAAGATATGGGAGGTTGATGTCAGAATTCACCTTTTTTTTGTCACGTGTGCACTGACAGAAATGTAACCCCATTACATTACATTCTTATTAGAAGGAACATCACAGGCCTCTGCACAGGATTTGATGTTGCAAGCCTTTGTGCTATAAACTAAGGTGAGCAATCACATAACCCTAATTCAGCTGTCAGAAAAATGATGCAGTGTACCACAAATGGATTACTATATAGGACATTAAGCCATGCTGCCATAAATCTAAAGGAGTGCCAGGTAGGTGGCAGCCCCATCCATCAGTTTATCTCATCTTAAAGCCCCTCTCCACTTCAGGAACCTTCAGTGGTGGGTATCTGCAGGAGCCATTTCATATCCAACATGTTGTTTGGTGCTGTACTCACAGTAGTGAGTTTGAATCTTTAGGAAAACAACAAGCCTGGCTCTAACCAATGCATTTTAAATCTGAAAGCTGCTCTCAATATTTGTATTATACATGTTTATATATTTTAATCATATATTAATCATAGATCATGTTACTACTTGTATGTGAAAGGGGTCGCTCCTGACCAACCCACAGAGAATTATCACCCAAGTCTGCAGTACCACTCATCCTCTGCAGAGCATTTTGGCTTCATTCAGCTCTTTTTGTTTTTTTTAGACCCACTTTTGATTGAGACTCACTGCACTCCTCAACTCAGTTTTCAGCAATATCAGGCAGCTGCTATGAGCAAAAAACACCAAACAGTAGACAGACACAGGTAGCGACTAGATGGTGAACATTGTGGAGCATTTAGAATCAAAAGTTGGGGGAGACCAAAAACAGCTAAAAAGATGGCAAATATTGGACTTATTCATGAGTGCCCATAAACATGACTTTTCATCAAGCCATAGGTACTTAAGTGACTCGTTCTATACATGTACCTTCTAATGTCAAGATAGTAACATCAACTGCCTTATTTGATAAACCCCTGTAGTCCCCTTTCAGTGGCCCTATGACCATCAAAACCATGTTCCCTAAAAACTGCTGCATCTCTCAGAGATGTGTTTAATTACCTGTATCAGTAATGATTCAAGTCTAAACTAGGTCTGTATGCATGACAGTAGAATGAAGGCAGAAAAGCTGTGCATGTATGGGATAGACAAACTCAGGATCATGTTCAAAAGCTCCAACAAGAAGCTACATTCCGTCTCTGGACTACAGAGCAGTAGTGGATGTACTCATCTAAGTTCCTGGCACTGTACTTTCGCAGCCACAGCTTGAACCTGCAGTGAAGACACATTTAAACAGACACTGGCGGTGACAAATCATCCACCTCGGACCCTGACAGCATGGGTGACAATAGGAGCAGTGGTGTCCTCTCTTCCTGACAGTGAACTGTCATTTATCATCGCTGTGAGTTGAGATTTAGAGCGCAGAACCAATCTGCTAATGCAGCTCAGAGGAATAATCGGAGTGGGCTGTAAAGTCGAGGACAAAGTCTCATCAATATGAGTAAGCTGTAACTGAATGCAAGCCTGACTCACTCCCTCGCCTTCTGAAATATTTTGTATTCAACCATGTTGTTTTTGTTAAAGTGTGGGCCTTTGGAGTCTGATGCGCCACAGTATGCAGGTTGGCAGGCTGCTGGCAGGGCGTTAGTTCTATATTGAGTGCAACCGGAAACCCATTAATTAGTGCACCCAGGATACTTTTCTTGCCAGACCTTGTAGGAACAACCTGAGTTGAGTTGTACCGTTGTTGGAGGAGGCCCAAATCTGCAAGCCTCACACAGTCTCTTGTTCAACACCTGCTGTGCAGAAATCTGCCTGTTCCTGTAGTAATAATTTGGAGGAGTTTCACTGTCTACAAAACTCATACTATTTTATAGTATTGACCAAAGCAAGCAAGAAGAACAAGTTTGAGTGTGAACTACAGCAAGGATTGCCGACTCAAATACAGTGTCTGCAAGTTGATCTTCATACTTCCCATAAACGAAAGGAAATCAATAGTTGTCGGAGGACTGAAAAACACATTCAAAGGAAAGCAGAAAAAAGTGAATACTGTGCGTGCTCAACCGATGTGATTCAAAAATTATTTTAGAATTGAGAGAGTCCAAACCATGTCTCAAAAACCAAGTTATAGCCAATAAATTCAACACCAATCCTCACCAATAGTGGGACTAAAAATGTAAACTTTGTCCTGGGGGTGGCACTAAGGGAAAGACCTGGTGGGCCAATAAATAAAAGTTAAGATAAGTAAGTAATGCATTCTTTATATAGCACTTTTTAAAACCAGGACTTTATTCGCTTGGGATCACAAATACTCACATTGCTTATAAATTGTACTAACTGAATACCAGTGGCCTGAGGCGATACCCACACTACACACAACCATAACAATACTGTCATAAACGGCCACAGGGGACCTAATCCACTCACTGGCCAACCAACATCCCTTGCAAAGTCTTTCTGCGGCACTGAGGAGCAGAACCCCGTGGGACAACAAAACCCTGAACTGGCCTCATTAATTCTAAATGAGGCTACACACAATAACTAGGCTATTCCCAAAGCAAGCTTCAGTCACACAAAAGTCGCTCCACCTTTGTTTCTCTCTTTTCTAATGCAGATTTATGTGTGACAATAAATAACTGAAGTCCTACTTCATCTTTCCTCAACTAATGACCTCTGTCATCTTGTCCATTCCCAACCACTTACCTCTGATCTTCATCATTCCTAGCCACGGACTCATAGCCACCAACCTTCAGTGATTCCGAAGCACTCACCTCAATCCATCCCAGCAACTGATCACCACTGACCCCCATTCATTCCCAGCTACTGACCTCCCATCCATTCTCAGTCATGGACCATTGATTCCTAGCCACTAACCTGCATCCTTTATAGTGACCCTCCACCACTAACCTCTTTCCATTCCTTCATCCATTCCTAGCCTATGATCTCAATCCATCCCTACCCCTCGAATCTTATACATTCCTTACCACTGACTTCCTTCCATCCATAGCTACTGAGCTCCCTGACCACATCATCAATCTCCACCTTTAGCAGATGGAAAAGTGTCTCACAGCCCGCTCATATGATGAGATGCGTATTTCCACTGGATGGTTGGAATACCAAAATATAATAATAATTATATCTGGTGATGACTGCATACTGTACCTGGTCTCAGTTGCTTTAAATTACATCATTTACAAGGAATCCATGTCTCATTATTACAGAGTGCTGTTCCAGAAAATCTCTTAATTCATTTATTTATTCAGTGAAAATACTTAAGATGTTACGGATCCTAATCTATAATTGTTCCGAAGAAAACATACGTTTGAATGTAGAATGCATTAGTCATCCTTCGTTGACTTACTTCCAATTTCCCTGCGAAGATAAATGGTTTCATTTTGTTGCACTTATGCCAAGAGTAAAGATAGACGGGCAGTCTGTCATTGCATCTTTCAGGGCTGGAGCCTTTCCAAAGACTGCTTCATATTCCCAGGCCTTTTTACTTGCTGGGGAAAATTAGGAACATGGTGTCCTGGTACCTGGCCAACACACTGACTGATGCTGATTCACTTACTGACCTCCAACAAGACAGGCTGTGGTGCCATCACGTGGGAGATGTTAAGATTAAGGGTGATACTTCTATGGATAACCTTCATGTCAATAAATCCAATTGAAAGATTGATGGGGCCTATACAGTAGACATTCTATATGCAGTGGATCTGAATCTGTATTCGATAGACATGGTTCTACATTCGGCCTGTATGTAGTTTAAATGGTCCTATTTGGCGTAGAAATTGGGTAAGCAGTGATTCTTTGGTAAAGTGGCCCTTATGCAGGAGACACTATGCAAATTCTATGGATGTCCCTTAGGAAGGTCATTTGTCTAGTAAATTAGGTAATGTAAGGAAAATCAATGGAAACATTTCCATATACCTAATGGAGTATTATATTGAGTACATTTTTACCACTCAATTTGATATAGCCAGCTGCGTAGAAGCATTCACGTTTCTTAGATAATGGTCAACAGGCGACAAGTGTTTAGGGTTACTAACACATTCAAAGGCTTAACATAACGTAAGTATTTATTTATAAACTTAGAATATTACATATTTCCTTTGATAAGGCAGATTAAATGAACTCCAGAAAGATGATGACACTGTAAAACATTCCAGCTCTCATAATGACATACATTTACAGTGAATTCATATAATAAATGACACAGAATTTCTCTTAGACCCACCATGATACAACATGAAGCATAAAAAATAAATAGACGGGCTTAAAACGAAACCCTCTGTTGGAAGGATTCTCAATTTATTACATGTCAGAGAATACATTGTAGCCTAAATACTTAAAAAATTAAAACACTGTATTAGCGCTAAAACTTACTATCTGACACATTAAAAAAAACATGTGCATTACTACAGCAAAGAATCTTGCAGCCTGTGAGGCTAACTAGAGCTACCTACAGATGTCTAACAGACATTGGAGGACAGTACTTTAGGCAAATATGCTAAGTCACTTAATTGAAGGAAAAAATACGACCAAACAAATGAGCCATATTCTACAGCCTATATGCAGATTTGCACTGCCTAACAGCACCACAACATCCATTATAGTCTAACTACATACTGGTAGTGTGTCAGAGAGACATGCCAAGGAAGATCAGCGAGCCAATATGGTCTGTGTTGTGTCACCAAACTCTAAATAATTTAACCTTGTGTCACATCTCAGGAAGGATTTAAAGTTTAAACATCTCTGAGGTTTAAACAACGTTTTAGGCTGGGAAAGAGGAAGAGGTCCAAAAGTCAAAGCAGGCAAATACTTTATACAGTCCCATAAGGAATTACCGGTTGGCTAAATACTAGTGTACTAGGAAGGTGTGTGGCCACATAGCTATCCTACGTGCCACTGTACTACCTCTAGGCCGACTATTCTGCTTCTGCATTACTGTTTCTAAGTAATCTACAATCAACAGAGATGGGTGTGGGAGTTCTTTGTGCCTTATTGCTTTTCCTGTTTATTCCACAGTCTCATTCCCTGAAGTTGAACTAAGTTAACAGTCAAGAGGAACCGCCTCGTGCAGCGCACGTTCGCCCTCCACCGCTTCGGCGGCGTCCCCAAGCTCTGCGTCCTGGCACGAGAGGGGCGCCTCGCATCTCACCGGTCGGACGATGACGCACGACCTCGCGGGCTCCCCACTCGCTCCGGCGCCGCGCGCGGGGCTGCGACTGTCGCGCTCGTATTCCTCCTGAGCGCGCAGGATCTTCCTCTTCCGAAGCTTCCTCTTGTGGAAATGGAACGTTGCCAGGGAAATGAGGACGATCCCCACGAGCACGGCCACCAACACAAGGAGCGCGAGGGTGGAGGAGAACGGCGGAAAAAAGCCGAGCTGCTCCGCACAGGTGGCGTTGTGGGCCTGGAAAACCCCGTGACAGCGGTGCAACGGCACCGACAGTCCGGAGGCCTCAGCGGTTCTGGCTGTCATCCGGTCCACCTTTTCCCGGTCACTCTTGTCACTCTAACCCCAGTACCCTTCTTGCTCTCCGGGCTCAGCGCGGTGACACCGGCCCGCGCATGTGGTTACCTGCACCGAAAAGAAGACACATGAGATGCGCTCATCCAGCACCAGAGGAGACTACCCTATCACAACAATCAGAAACCCGCCCACCCATATGCTATTCATTAACTAGTCCAGCTGTATCAGTAAAACCAATCTTAAACAATTTACATGGCCGGTGCGCTTCATTTGACACTAAATCACAATGTTAGATAAAACCTGCCAGCTTTTAGAGCATATGCTCATGATCATTGTGGGAGAAAAAGACGTTGCAATGAATATAACACGGGGTAGAAGTAGGGACAATACATCATCTATTGTAATGTGTAGGCCTACAAGATGTAGCCAAACAGAAGCCATTCTTCCCTGCACTCCACAAAGCTGCCTTTTTAGGACACTAATGTCAGAGGATAATTTTGCATCTATACATAAAGGAAGGGAAATCTTACCTGATGAAATTGTCAGTACGAGGCACAGTCCGTGAGTGGAGAGCCGATGTGTGTAAATGGGAGAACAGGATCACGGTGACGCATTTCATGCAACGAGATGCTGCTGCTGAGCTCCGATCACTCAGGACGCTTTGATTGCCGCAATCCGCTCAGTGTGCAACCAGGACAGCACTGCCCCTGCTAAATAGTGCGAGTATCGGGGAAAATCCCTCAGTATGCATCAAAGTGCGTTTTTAAAAAAACGCGAAAAGAGCTGTGGTCTGGTTTTTACCCAGAAAAACGTCCCCTCCTCCGACCATCCGCTGCTCCACTCAGCATCTGAATGAAAAGCTGCAGCTGCATTAAAGGTCCCGTATAGTCAGCTGGCGGGGCTTGGTTTTTTTCTATTCAAATGTAGTCCATGTATTGCCAACACCTGAGTGATTTTGTTCCCCTCTAATCACTATATTGATAAATGCGTTTTCACTTCATACTTTCATCAAATAATGAATAATGTAAATTCGTTTTAAAATTGGACCCTGATCGGTAACCACTGGCATTCATAAGGGTGTGGCCAGTCAAATGCTGCATGAATGGAAGCGTTTAAGCCTTATTATGATGAGGGGGTTTGAATAATGTCCAGCGGTCATGCATTCAATTGAACCAAACTATGTATAGGATGGTGCCAGTTATTAGGTTTTCACAGAATCTTAGACAGATAAAGTTGATACCTTTCACACCTTTAGATCTGATAATTGCTAGTTTGATATGCTGTTAATTTCAGCCTACAGCAACCAGTCCCAATTTCGTTAAAAACACTTTCAAATCTCAATATTTAGAACACATGGGGGGTCGTCGACCCCCCCCAATAAAACACATAAAGAGTGCAACTCATAGATCCAACAATGCCTCTTGCTATGGTTGCAATCTACCATAAAATGGAAAGAAGATGAAGCAATGATGCACAACTGAAGCAGGAGGTATCATACCATGTCCACCATAAATTGATGCAGTAAAGGCAAAAATTGGTGCATAAAATTCACCAGAATGCAGGAAATTAAGTGTCTGTGATAAAATGTTTTGGACTCCTCTCCTTTAATATGTTTTCCTCCCAAATGTTGAAAAAAAAAAAGCTACGCCCTTTAATAAAGGTTGATCTCCATGGATTTAGTGTCGTCATGACATTTTGTATGGAATTAAGGAAATTATCTAAATAAGAGGCTTAATATAACCGTTAAGCACTTGTTTTGACATGAATACCATGCACTCTTGAATAATACCAGCCCTCACTTTTACTTTTAGTGAAGACATTACATCTTTTACAAAAAAAGCCACAATTAGAAAACCACTAAATCGAGCTCAGCTCCTCCCTGACTGGAAGATTGCTGCAGGCGGTGTGACATGTATTCCAAATATAGAAGTGTGGGCATTGAAGAGACATATCCACAATGAGGCCACACCTTGACCTAAAGCATTGTGACAACATACTGTGTGTCTCTTCACTTTCCATTTTGTCTTTTTATGTCCAAAGTTTCTTGGTAGCATACAGTTGATGATCTGCATCCCGATTCCACACTACATACTAATTCTAAGCCGGGTTTGAGTATGTGTTCACACAGGAAAAGTGGTAAAGTATATGCATACTAATAAAGGCAGATCTTTGAAGGTGGTGTTGATTGATGAATCACAAATGAATAGGATCCTCACAGCTGTGAAACATTAAAACACAATTCGGATGGAGCTTTGAGACACAGCAGAAAACAAGCTATCAAACAAGCAATTCAATCTTTGCAGTTTCTATTCGTGAAGTAGAATTGGCAATGATGTTGTAACCCATGTAACCCTGAGTCAGTAACAGCCCAGCAGTGTGCTACATAATGTACCATGACATTTCATTCATTTTGCAACGTGAACATTTTCTAATTGCTGGTACGATAACCTTCCAAAACAGTGAACTAATGAATTATGATGTGATAAACCACAAGTGTTTTAGGGTCCTATAATCTTTCAAACTCACAAATCTGTTGCTCAAACTGGACTTCCAGGATTGTGTGGCCCTATCTTACTCAGTAGCGGCAATTTGAGGTGGGGGGGGCCCTAATTTCTTCCCTAATTTTCCAACGGCCAGTTTGCCCCCTTTGCTGGGGCCGAGGGGTTGTTTAGTTTAATATGAGTCTGCCTGATTTATTGGTCCTTTATCTAACTTAGGTTTGTGCAATTTAGAATCTATGGCTCCCAGCATGGCTCTGAAATATCAGTAGCCTAACCGTGCTGTGTGTTGATAAAGCCGTGGCACTGTTCGTGGTGCTGAAGTAGCAGACAGATTTGTAATTGCGATTTTTGTTCTCCTGCCATTGCGTCACTTTTTTTTAGATCTTTAATATTCTCTCAACTATATAGCTTGCGGATAAATCAGGTACGAATCAATCGCCTACAAATGAAGTAACTTATTGTACCTGAAACAACACAATCCCACAAACGCAGCCCCTTGCATAGAACATCCAATAAGGTTTCACCAAACTCATTGGGATTCATCCTCTGGGGACATTGAAGGCCTGGAGCAAATTTCAATCAATCAAACAATGTATGAGATATTTCAGTCTGGGGGCCACTGTGAGGAAGGCGTGGCATTCAGTGGTTCATCCAGAAAGGCATGAGGAAGTGCGAGGTATTGTCAGTGATGCTCTGCAAGCTGCATCTCCCACCCGCAGGTCAGAGCCAGCCTTCCTGATGTTGATGTTTGTCGATTCTGTTGGTGTCAGCTGCTGCCACAGCACGCAGAAGAAGACACTGACCACCACCAAATAATCAACTCTATCGCCAGACAGGAACGTCGATATCGAACAATTCTGCAAAACCCTGTATTACGTTTAATAAGGCCTTTTTAATTCTAACCTTCTACAATACCTGTGCATGGCAACTACAGCATGGTTAAGGTGCGGGAAAGACTGTGGAAGCCAGTGTTTGGTTTGTCCATTCTGGGCTACCGTAGAAACATGCCGGTGCAACACGGCTGATTCTGTGAAGAGAACCCGCTCTCTATCTTGATACCCGTTCTAAGCTTTTTTAATTTCTTAATTCTTAATTTCAGGTGATTATAGAGAAATGAAAACATAGTTATAAATGTTATATTCAATTGCTGTTTATAGATCCCCTGAAATGCTACACACTGGCCCTTTAACAAAATCGTGAAATACTGTGTATTAATAACAGATAAAAGCAAAGAGGAACATTTAATTAGATAAAAGTCTGTGGTTTTTTAAAAATATATTGGAACCACGAAGCATTTAGGATTCTCACAGTAATTTCCCTGTCCTACTTGTGGACATGCTCCATCAGCAGCAGGGCTCCATGAAAAATGAATGGCTTCGGAGGAAGAGAGGGTCCCTGGATGATGAACTCACTGAAGATGAGTGCATACTGAAAGATTTATACAACTATTCATGCACAGTTTAAAACCTGGCATATGTTTTAGGGCTGTTAAATGGAGAGTGATTATTTCACTTATTTTAATATTCATACAGGTCCGCTGCAGATTCCCAGGTCAAACTGATCCACATTAGACCACCTGACCGTCTTTGCGGCTGTGGCAGGAAACCCTGGAGTAGCAGTGTAGAAAGAGCCAAGGCCTCTTCAAACAGATTAGGTCGCACAAAGTGTTTTACAGCCGTGTATCTTTGTAGTCCATGATTAGTCGTACAAATGGAGATAATGGTGCACACATTCAGACAGACTGTCCTTGAAGGCCCTTGTGGTGTTGCCCTCTAGTTGTGCACACAAAACGTGACAGAGTAGTTGTGTGAGGAATGAAAAAAGGGCTTGAGAGAGAAGTTTAAACCCTGTCCAATTTCACACCTCTGCACACTGTGTACGTGCCCATCACCGAACAGTAGTTGGTTTTTTCTGTGCTTTTTTCGCTGCCTGCTGAGGCTGGAAACAAGGTTGATGAGAAAGTGAACCACAACGGTGAAGTTGAGCTGAAAGATGTTGAAACACTCCGTAGAGCTGCAGGGAATAATTCTCTGTGGGTTTGTTACACTAGTCATTTCATCGAATATAAATGTTTTTATTATAGCAGCTGTAAATGATTTTTATGGATCTCTATAAAGATTTATATTTTACAGTAGTGAAGATATTTTACTTAAGTAAAAGTAGCAATACCATGATGTACAAATATCAGTTACAAGTAAAAGTCCTGCATTCAAAAATGTACTTAAGGAGAAGTACAAAAGTATTACTAACATTAAATTATACGTAAAGTGCCAAAAGGAAAAGTACTCATTATGTAGAATGGCCCAATTTAAGAATAATATGATATTATTGGATTATAATAACTGATCGATTAATGTGTCCATAATTTTAATAATGCAGCTGATAAAGGTGGACTACTTTATATACTGGTATCTTGTTAATTTTCCCCAGGGAAGTCTTATTTTATCTTTAACCTATAATAATACATCATAATTTGTATTTGTTGAATATTCTGTATTATGAATCTCACTGCGCTAGTAACTAAAGTTATCAGATAAATAGTGGAGTAAAAAGTACACAATTTCCCTCTGAATTGTTGATTAGAAGTATAAAATCCTTGAGTAAATGTCCTTAGTTACTTTCCACCACTGTCAGTTTCGCTATAAACTACAACTGTTACCACATTCTTCTCTTTCCTAATGACGCATTATGTATCTGCCTATTATTGAGCCACTCTATTCTCTTCCAGTGCCAGGCCACTCTGACTGCAGCTTGTGTTAATCAGGATTATTAACTGTAATGAGAAAGCTTTATGGGTCTGAATGCTAAGCATATATTGATGTACACGCTGCTGTCCGTTCAGTGTGTGTGTGTGTGTGTGCGTGTGTCTGTGTGTGTGTGTCATTGTGCA